TACCAGCTTTAAATATGCACTGAAGGATAATCTGCATGAAGACTAAATGGAAAAAATTGGATTTCTTTCTTCCCAATGTTGTTAGGATTAGTTAACGCTTTGAGAAATGAAATTCCCAGTTACTGTGTTCCTTTTTCGTTAGGTCTTAGCTATGTTTAATGTTTCTAGACCATCACGTTTCACTGTGGCTCATACCCGAATGGAGAGGGGTCAGATTCTTCCTTTTCTGGGATACTCCAGTGTCGGGGGTGCCCACGTCCACTCTCAGGATCAGTGGTTTGTTAGAAGGACTCAGAGCTCAGGAAAGTTGTCATATTCATGATCGTGATTCCATTCCAAGGGTACAGATTAAAACCAGCAATGGAAAAGGTTGCACGGCTGAGTCTAGGAGAGACCGACCATGAGCTTCCAGTCCTCCTCTCCCAGTAGAGTCACGTGCACAGGACTTGTTCCTCCAGCAGGGACGTGTGATGACACCATGGAGTCTTGCCAGCCAGGGAAGCTCACCCGAGCCTTGGTGCCCAGGGTTTTTAATGGGAATTGGCCACGTGGACATGGCTGATTGCCTGTGCGGCTGACCTTAACCTCCAGCCCCTTCAGAGGTCAGACGGATGCAGGCTGGCCCAAGACCCCAGCCATAAACCACATCGTTAGCACAGACTACCTGTTGTGGCCTACAGCCCCAGAAAAGGAAAGGCTCTCATCAGACAGGACATTCCAAGGGCTAAGAAGTGACCTCCCAGCAACTGGGCAAGGGCCAGTCCTTTGGAATGGGCCAGGTTAATCCTTTACTGCACATCTCCTCACAACTGGAGTTCTCCGGTGGCAGTTTCTTGTCTCACTTTTTTCCCTTCTTGTCTCCTGTGTCCTCTGCAGAGCTGCCATGTTTGTCCCCCGAGCACCACGCTCATCCTGACGGCCCACTGAACCTTCAGTGACTCTCCCTTCCTTTGGGTGAAGTCTCATCTCTTTCTCCTGTTCCTCACAACCTATGTGTCATCTACTTTTCCTGTTTCTTAGCTGCCTGGAGTGGCTCCTTCTAGCCTTCCAGCCCCTTGGCCCTGCATGGGAGAGACTTTGTAGGGAAGACAACCTGGCTCACGCTCCTTGACTCTTCTGCCTGGAAGTAACCTCTCTTCCCTCTAATTTCATAGTATTTACTGAACTATGTAGCAGAAACATTACGCAGTGTCTCGTGTGAGCTCCTGAGAGTTTAATTGGTTCTTGCTGAGTCTTCTAAGCACCTACCAAGTGTGGTCCTGGGGGTGTGCTGTGCATTGCTGACCGACTGATGATGAGATGTCTGTTCACCAAACCCCATGGCCACTGGTAAATTCTTGCTAGTTTGGAAACCCTGGCCCAACAGTTTATAGGTTTCTTGAGCCTGCATCTGGTAGGGTTTCTTTCCATTACTCCACTAAACTTTATGATGCCAGGTGGTCTTGTCCTTTTTCATTTTATTTCCAGCATAATTTGACTGTGTACATTCTCCAAGTTGAGCTCTTAAGACTGGCCTGACATGTTAATTTCTCGCATATATCTGTGGAGGAAGGCTGCCATTCAGCTGACCTGTGGTCTCTGCAAGAATGTTTAAATCCACAGCTTACCTCATTTTCAGTAGATTGGGCCACCAGAAGGTTGCAGATTTTAGCAGAAAATCATGTGCTCATGGGCACTTAGTAAGTTTTAATTGATGTTTATATTTTACTCATGCATTTTTATTTAGAGACAATTCAAAGAGCCCATGAAGGTGGCTACAGGATAAAACTTCTGGGAAAGGTTTATTGTTTGTAAATCAGAAGTGTAGTAGTGACAGTTCTGCACATATATGTTCATGGTGGCAGTTTTTCCAGAGTGGAACTCTGAGAATTATGACACAGGATTTGGGAGGTTGTTTGTACCAAGGTTAATGCTAAGCCAAAAGAGAAAAGAATAAGGGTAATATGGAATTGAGTCAAACAGGGAAATTTATATGTTAATAAAACATAAGCAGTTTCTTATTAAATGGGTAGTTAAATGTCTGCTTTAAAATATTCCCACTTCCAGTCTGGAGCGAGCCTCTGGGGCTTTGTAGGTTCTTTACCTTTTGACTTTCTTCTCAGTTTTCTAGAAAACATGGCAGTGACTTATGATTTATATATCAGCTAATTTATGACTTCACTGGGGGAGGATAGGAGAGCTCAGCTTCTGGCCCTGCAAGAGTCGTCTGCTGTTCCTCTAGCTTAGTTCCAACTCAAAGCCTCTGCCTTGTGGCTGTGGTTTCTGCCCCTGGGTGCACACTCCTGGGCACAAGGCGGGGTCCTCACGAATGCCTGTTTTCCTGCAGAGGGCAGAGCTCCTACTCAGGCAGGGCTGACCCTCAGGAGTAGAAGATCCTGATGCTGCTCACTTGGCCGTCAAGTGCATGCTGAAAAAAAAAATTATATATAATATATGTACATGAATGCAAATTAAATCCAGTAATATATTAAAAGGCTTATACATCATGACCAAGTGAGATTTGTTTCAAAAATGCTTGGGTGTCGCAAATTTAGGAAAGTACAACAAAGCAACTCTACATAAAGCATCAAAAAAAAAAAAAAAAAATTATATATAATAAAAGATGTCACTGCTATAGATAAGAAAATCACTCATTCCTATTTTTTAAAACTTGACTTAAAAACTAATATATTAATGAAAATGTGAGGTCTAAATTTCATTATTTTTATTCATATTCTTATTTCGTTTTTTCAATTACTTCTTTTTCTCCCCTGTTGTCTTACCTGATTTGTTCAACATCAAACTCCCACAAATAGTTGGACCTATCACTGGAATTTTGATTCTGTTCTGATTTTAATA